AGACTGTAATACCAGCACTTTGGGAGGCCGAGGCAAGAGGATTGCCTGAGTCGATGGGTTTGAGACCAGCCTGGGCAACATGATGAGACTTCATCTCTACAATAAAAAAATTGAAAAAATGAGCTGGATGTGGTAGTGCTGTAGTTCCAGCTACTTGGAAGGCTGAGGCAGAAGGATCGCCAGAGCCTGGGAGGTCAACGTTGGGGTGGCTGTGGCCATGAGTGTGCCACTGCACTCCAGCCTGGGCAACGGAGTGAGACTACAACTCAAAAAAAAAAAAAAAAAAGCTCTAACCACAGTGCCTACCTTTAAACCAAACCAGGTGCTGAAAAGGGTCATTTATGAGGATGTAGATTCCAGTGTTTTTGCTGGGACCTTAATCAATACCCTTTCCTTCCTTCAAAGGGATCCTGGAAACCAGAAGGGAAGGGCTCATGTCCAAGTCTTGTCTAAAACCCCACTATGCTGCCATCAGTCAGCGACGGACCTGCATCTGCAGGATGCCCACCACACACCCAATGCTGAGCTGTGGGAAGTCCAGAACATATGTGACAACTGACAATCATGAAGGGGCTAATAATATTGGCTTCTCAAAGGGACGAATTGTGCCAGGGGCCCAGCAAGGATGCATAGTGAATTCCTTTTTATTTTTAGATTCAGCCTGCTTTCCTTGGGACAGCTCCCCATGCACTTCTGCCTGCCTGATGTTGTTGACGAAATATGTTATTTACATATTGAGAATCATGGGATGCTGAGAACTCACAGGGAGAGGACAGGAGGGGATCTCTTTGATAAAATGTCCAAGTTAAAGGTGAAGTTTGCAGTCAGTTGAAAATCTTGTCCCTTCGGTAAGGTGCCTACACCTCTGAAGGCATATGATCTAGTTGCAGTGTTATGCCAGGAACACTGCTCATCCAGGAGGTGCGTTGGTGTCCTTTATGGGGCTTTTCCAAACTACAGCCTGGTTCTCTCCCACCCTGTTCCACAAAGGTGGATTCAAGTCCGGGAAAGGGAGATATATCTTGCAAAGTGTTGTATATCAGAAATTCAAAAGACACATTAGAATCAGGGAGAGGCTTCTACTAGGCCCCATGTCTACACAAAAATCTACAAATACGCCGGGCTCGGTGGTTCAGCCTGTAATCCCGCGCCTTTGGGAGGCTGAGGTGAGTGGATTGCCTGAGCCCGTGGGTTCGAGACCCACCTGGGCAGCGAGACCTCATCTCTACAATAAATCAAAAAATCAGCTGGGCGTGGTAGCGCGCGCCTGTAATTCCGGCTACTCGGAAAGCTGAGGCGGAAGGATCGCCAGAGCCCAGCAGGTCGAGGCTGCGGTGGCCGGGAGCGGCCACTGCACTCCAGTCTGGGTGACAGAGTGAGACTCCAACTCAAAAAAAAAAAAATCTACAAATAAATCATATTATGTTATTTGTCTCAAGAAAAAAAGGAAGAAATGCGTAAGTTTTCTATACATTGATGTCAAAGCTGCAGCCATGAATTACCCTGCGCAGAAGGCAGGTGTTTGTCAAGACCAACTTTTCTGACAAAAAAAAAGAACAACCTGAGAGGTATTTGTTTTAGTAAATCAAATGGGAATCTCATGAGACTTGCTCGTGCCTTTAAGTGTCTCCCTTAGTGCAAACAGCCTATGGCCATGACTGTGTCCCAGGGAGACTGAGTTTGTTCCAGTGAGCTGAGGAGCCAGGTGGGAGATGCCCCTTTGAGAAGGGTCATTACTATGTATTTTAAGCTGCTTTCAGCCAGTGTGTGGCTGAGGAGTGTGGATAAGACATCTCTGCCATCCTACTGTTGAAAACTTTAGCCTATAATCACTGTTGTACTCACTGCTCTGGCTCACGGTACCAGAGCCCACTGTCCTACATCTCTGATGACATACACAGAGTGTCTCTGGCCTCTGGGAGGAGGAAGGAACACCATCTCCAGCTTTAACCCTCTGTAAACAAGAAGACCCCAACCATGTGGTAGGGAAGCAGGTATTACACAAAGCTTCCCAAGGAAATGGGAGACAGCAGAGAGTAGGAAATGCTCAGAACCAGGAGACCTGCATTCTAGTCCAGGTACCTACCTAGTTTCAATGGTTCAAGGTTAGCTAGGACTCAGTATACTCCTTTACAAAATGGGGCTAATGCCAGGGTTAGTGCTCTCATGTGGAGCGTGTGAAATAATGTGTGTGGAAGTCCTTTGCACATAAAGTTTACACAAAGGAAAGGTATTGGCTATATGTTATTCCTATAGATATCTGACCATCCCTCCACATTGCCATCATTTCTCAAGCTTTCTGTGATGAATTCCTGCGCCCCCTCCCCCAGCCTCTCTGTTCATGGGGTTTGCATAAGAACTTTAATTCCTGTGCAGTCAGCTAATGTGAACAGGAAAAACTGGGAAATGCCTGTTTCTGGGGGAAGTGGAGTCTCTTCAGTGTAAGGGGTAGTGGCACAGGGTCAGGGAAGGAGCTTTCGGCCCCTGCTGAGAGAACAAGACAGCCCCAAGATGTAGTGAGTGAACAGAAATGTCCTGTGGGTAGATGAGATCCTGGAAGAGAACCAAGCTGATGCCCTCTGGCTGTGTGGGAAGGAAGGGGAGAGAGAACCTGGGAGGACCCACCGTGGGGCCAGGCTGGTGGGACAGGTGGCCTGGGAATCCGAGAAGTCGGGTCAGTGACACAACATCTGCTGCTACTCTCTGGCCTAGGACCTAACTGACCAAAACATGGTGAAGTATGAACAGTGGTTTTGATTTTGAAATAAGGTAATAATAGAAAGAACAATAACCGTCATTTGAGGAACACCTAGGTGCTAAGTGGTCTATGTCTACTTTTCATTTAGTCACCTGCCACTGTGCCCCTTAGTCTCCAATCTCCAGCCACATGATCACTATTCTGTTTCTTGAATATGCCAAGCTCCTTCCTGCCATAGCCTCTGTGCATACCGTTTTCCTTGTGAGAATGCTCTTCCTCTCACTGCTTCCAAAGCTCTCATCTTTCAAGTCTTGGTTTCATGTCACCTCCTAGGAAAAGCTTTCCCAGACAGTCCCCTAGCCAGTCCTGCCCCCATCCTACATTCTCTTGATAACAATTCCTGGGATGTATACCCCTGTGGGTTCTGTAATATCTGCAGAAACTCCTATCTCTGTAGCACCTACCTAGCACAGTGCCTTGTAAACAGTAGGAGCTCGATAAAGGCTGTGTCCACTGCACAAGGAATCTTCAGAGTCATCCTTTGACGCAGGTCTTATTAACCTCATTTTACAGACAGGATGCTAAACAGTTGTTCAAGGTCACAGAGCTAATCAAATGAAAATCCAGAATCCCATCTCAGGACTGTCAAAGGCAGAGCTCAAACTTCCTGTTCTTGCCTCTGATCCCCTGGCTCATGGCCCAGTCTGAGGTGCTCTGAAGATTTCCACTTCCTGGACCCCCCTTCAAACTTGATTCTTTGAGTTTGCAAAAAATATTTCAGAAAGACCCCAATGCAAGGCCATGTCTTGCATGCAACCTGAGTCTAGGAACAGCACGTCAGATTTAGTGACCAGTCTGAATGATAGGTTATTTGAAGGATTTTTGCTCCCCTGCTTTGTCTAGATTCTTCCCTGGATTCTAAATCCATTCCCAGACTTAATCTTTCAATTGAGTGCCCAGTTATGAACTGTCTCCCATTATCTTCTTTTTTAACCAGTCTTAACCACACCCCCTCCTGCCTTGCTATCTGGATTATAAAGCTCTGCAGGAGAGGGATGGAATCTTCCACTTGTTTTGTTCTCCTTGGTGCTGAGCTCACAACAGCAGCAGTGAAACACGCTGACAGCATGTTGACAAGGGAAGGTTCTGCCCATAAATCAATGAAGTCTAATCTCTGATAAAGCCATAAGGATACTCCTTGTTACCCTCAAGCATCTGGCGGCTGGCGAGGATGTGGGGAATTTATGCAGGTGAGCCTCCGCTGACCTTTTCTGGAATTGCAAGTCTACCATGTGCCACTTTGCACACCCTTTTACAATCTGCTCACACAGGGAGGCAGGCCACTGGAACCCCAAGGGGAGCAGCTGGACTTCACTTTTCCATGTCTGACTGTCCAGTTCTGAACTATACCAGGTGCTGCCCTGTCCCTGACTGAAGGCACCTACATCTGGCAGAAGCAGAGCTCTACTGGACAATCCCTGGAGGCATGCTTACTTAAACTAAGAACAAAGGATATCATGGGCTTGGGGACTCTACTACAGACATGCGCAGCCTCAGACCCTTGGGTCGTAAAAAAGCTACTAAGCTCTGTGACTCAGGGTGACAGACAAGCAGGTCATGTTCATAACATGACTTCCCGACTACATCCAGATGTGACCATTTTGGTGCCTGAAATGGCAGTGGCAATTTTCTTGCTGTCCTTTTTCAGTTTCAGTAAAGCAAGTGATTTAGGTTGTAAGGATACACATGGATGATGATCTCTAGGGGAGTTAGGGTTCAGAAACTATCTATGGGACACAGTACTCACTATCTGGGGAATGGGTCACTTGAAACCCAACCCCCATCACTACACAACATGTTCATGTAATAAACATGTGTGTGTATCCCTGAATCTAAAATAAAAATGAAAAAACAAACACACAAAAACGAATACGCATGGGCCCATTAAGCTGTTTTCCCCCCTACAAGACTCAGGACAACTCCTTTCAGAATGAATGAAAAAATGCAGCCTACTGAACCCTTTATTTTTCTGAAATTGGTTTTCCTTCTGTGTAAAAACCTATTCTTTAATCACCAGTAGTCTGTTGGTGTTTCTTCCCCTCTCTCAGCTTTCCCCTCCTCTCCTGCTCTCCTAGGCCCACTCACATGCACGTCCTCTCTCAATGTCCTTCCCCCATCTCTTACAATCCTTTATGCTGGCCGGTGGGCACCTGTGTGAACTACAGATGGTTCAACACGGTGCCTCATTTCAGGGGTCTGACCTGCACATATGGAGGGTGGGCCGGCACTGCTGGGAACTCACCCAGAGGGTGGCAGGAGCTCGGTGGGCCCCTGGGGGCACTGAGGTCCCCTCATCTGCTGCCTTGGCACTGCAGCTCTGGGGCTGTGGCCACTCTGGCTCTTCTGTTTGCTGCTCGGTTTTGCTCTTCTGTTTTCTTATGATCTGAAGTTGGGGGACAAAAGGAAGCAAGTTATAAGAGAGGCCTCCAGATGCCACGTGGAGTAACTGGGACCATCTCTGGAATTTTTTTTTTTTTTTTTTGGAGTTGAAGTCTCACTTGGTTGCCCAGACTGGAGTGCAGTGGCCGCTCCTGGCCACCGCAGCCTCGCCTGCTGGGCTCTGGCGATCCTTCCACCTCAGCCTTCCGAGTAGTCGGAATTACAGGCATGCGTTACCACGCCTGGCTGATTTTTTTGATTTATTGTAGAGATGAGATCTTGCTGCCCAGGTGGGTCTCGAACCCGCGGGCTCAGGCAATCCACTCACCTCAGCCTCCCAAAGGCGTGGGATTACAGACTGAGCCACCGAGCCTGGCTCATCTCTGGAATTTTTTTCAGCCACTGACAAACTTAATTTTAACAGAGCACCAGCCTGTTTCTGTCTGCCTTATGATAAAGCAGCATAACTGTAACACTGAACATTCTAAGCATTTTACAGCATACAGATTATCCTTTTTACAAATAATTCTTTTATGATGTAAACAACTTCTTCTATTTATTAAGTGCCTACCATATGTCAGACCCTGTGCTGAGTACTGTATATCTTTACTACATTTAATTTTAAGCAGCACATACTATAACTTATAATTCTCCCCATTTTACAGATGAGGAGGCAGGCTCAGAGAGATTCAGTTATCAGTTAAGGCCACGCAGCTCATAAATGGTGGAGCTAGATATCAAATTCGGGCCTCTGGCTGTGAGTTCTGACTTTAGGAAGTGTCTGGAAGACCTATTAAGGGGGCAGATACCAAGAGTCATCAGAGATGGCTTCAGCTCCAGTGATATGGATCCATTTACAAAGGTCTCTGGGCGCTCAACTTCCTACGGGCAGAAAGCAGCCAAGAAAACTGCTGAACCACCAAAATGATCATTTTCCTCACTGTCTGTCTAGGCTAGACAGGATAATGAACAGGAACAAAGAGAACAATGAACAAAATCCTTGTTTTTTGGGGGGGGGTTAGTTTCTCACAGCAGAAATTAACTGGTACACCGTGTAAGGGACAGCTTAGGGTTTGGTAGGGTGTGATTGTAAGAAGTTTTACAATCACACTCAAACAGCTTAGAATTTGTAGTGCAACAGTAGAGTGAGAACATGGCCATGTTGCCCTGTAGGATTTCAGAATTGTTAAGGAACTCCTGTGCCTCCTGTTCTTCCCCTTTGTAGGACAATGGGGTTAGTACTGCTTTCCTGTCCCTCTTCTGACATTGCATGTTGGAAATGTAGGAGGAGGAGGGAGAATTTGTTTGCTTAATTCACAGATCTTCAGCCGAAGAGAGAATTGGGATAGAATGTACTTTGAACTGTGGTGGGATGGAATATTTGAGGGCCTTTGGATGTGAAGAATATATTTGGCATGTATATTTTATTTTCCTTTTTTTTTTGAGTTGGAGTCTCACTCTGTCACCCAGACTGGAGTGCAGTGGCTGCTCCCAGCCACCGCAGCCTCGAC